TTGAAATAAAATTGGACTACATGATAAAGGATGATTTTCTCTTCCTTCCCTATCCAGTATTGGCGCCACACACAGGGATAGGAATCCCTAGCATGGCCGGCCACAAGGGATAAGGGATAGAGGAGAATTTTGGTTCAAAAATCCAATTGGAGATAGAGATTGGATTCTTTCTAGATGTTTGACTTCTACTCTATAAATACTATTTTTGAGACAATTTTCGGAATGGTTTTTTGCCCTAATTTTAGAGTTAGCCGAAATTTCTCTATAGAAAGAAGGAAACAATTTTTCATCCCTAATGGGTTAAGGCTGGCCGAAATTCTCAAGAGAGAGAGGAAGGAAAAATTTTTTCTCCAAAAATTCCACATCGTGCATGTGATGGTGTTTGTGGAAATTCGAGTGTTTATTGTAACTCGTTTTGTCTCATGTGGGCCCACACACACATCTTCGTGGATTCTAGGAATTGATGTGGAAGACATTGGTTTTCTAAACACAAAGATTGGAGCAAGGACTGTTCGTGGTCAAAGAACTCAAGTTATCATCCGAGTCGGCTTCTAGGTATTTTTCCTGATTGAGTTCTTGATATATATAAGTTAATGAGATTAATTTATTTGTGCATAAATTAATATAATCTATAGAGTATCTCAAAAGTTTTATGAACATTTTTGTTATACACGATCCACCTCTTCCCTGCACCACCACGCTTCCGCATCCGGATTCGATCCGGAGACCAACATCGAATTTTATGAGAAATTGAGCCTGTGTGAGTTTTTACTGAGTTGTATTGTTCTTTTAACAGTTTTGTGTCGGGACATGTCGTACAATATTAGTTACTACATGATACAGTTGCACTTGAGAATTTGACGTTAGAGTCCGTTTCAATTTTTCTAGAGCACTTTGATGGATGGAATTCATGTTCCTATTATCGATGTTTATCGATATGAAGATCAAGGGTAAAGTTGACTTTGAAGTTTTCGGGAAGTATTGATTTCGACCCGATGGTTATTGATTTGTTTCCATA